CAACACAGCTTATTAGTCCCACAGAAAATATAGGCCATCTCGTTCTTGCCACACTCATCACGGCAGGTACCATGGTGATTCCAGCATTTTCGGGTGTCGCCTGATGCAAAGAGAAGGGAGCCGATGTCAGCCTCCAGTGGAATTGAGTCTCAGATGTGAGAAGCACTCACAGAAGGGCAAAGGGCTCTAGGTGGTGCAAAGGGTTTTCCCTTGACCGCTACCCTGAAGGTGGACAGTTCAAACCCAGCCAGAGGGACCAGGGAAATCAAATGCCTGGAAATGTGCTTCTCTAAGAATGGACAGCCATGTTACAAGTTCCGCTCTGTAGCACATGGGATCGTCCTGGGTGAGGGTCGACTGGACAGCAACGACACAACAGCAGAGGGCCAGCAGAGCAGGGAGACCACAGACAAAGCAGGACCTTCAGCCAGCCAACTCCGCTAGAGGGGCACTGGTGGGGAACAAGTAGTGGACATCAAACATGAAACTACTTGCAAAACTCAGATTAAATGAGAATTGTAAAGCCGACGAACAGGTAGGTTCAAAGGTGATGTCTTATCATTTGATCTCCCTTTTGACCCACTTAAAAATTGTTTCTGGCTTTAATATTTTCTGCTTTCTTTTCTATTGTGGGTTTCTCTGGTTTTGTCACTGTTGTTGGGTTTGTTGTTGTTGGGGGTTCTTTTTGTTCTTGTTTATATTTTGTATGAGTTTCTGTATATGAAATCTAACATAGGTAAATCTAAGGACACGGTAACTGGATTAATAATCCCCTAGTTGTATGGCAGGGGGGGGTTAGGGGAAATAAGGAGCTAACAATGAAGACAAGAAGAAATTTGATTGTGGTGAGGATTGTACAACTTTTCTTAATATGGTTGGGTGATTACATTGTGTGATATGTGAATTATACACTAATAAAACTATTTTTTAAAAGAGAGTCGCATATGTAGCGGCTGCCTGTTCAACAACAATGATCCACCATAAACAGAATATAATATACCTACAGTCCATGAGATGGCACGGCTGCCTCAGCCCTTCTCATCGAACTCCCAAGGGGGAAGAGAAAGAGGCAAGCCCTGAAGATAAACAAGCGGCCATCTAGCTCAGAAGCAACAAAGCCCACAGGGAAGAAGCACAACAGCCTGTGTGACCACGAGCTGTCGAAGGGATCAGGTATCAAGCATCCAAGAACAAAAAATCTTATCATTGTAAAGGTAGGTGAGTGCAGAGTGGAGGCTCAAAGCCCATCGGTAGGCATTGGACACCCCCTCGCTGAAAGGTTGAGGGGAGGAGATGAGCCTATCAGGGTGCAGGGCAGCAACAATGAAACATATAACTTTCCTCTAGTTCTTAAATGCTTCCTCCCCCCCACTATCATGATCCCAATTCTACCTTACAAATCTGGCTAGACCAGAGGGTGTACCTTGGTACAGATAGCAACTGGAAACACAGGGAATCCAGAACAGATGACTCCTTCAGGACCGGTGGTGAGAGGGGCAATGCCTGGAGGGTGGAGGGAATGTGGGGTGGAAAGAGGGAACCGATTACAAGAATCTAAGTATAGCCTCCTCCCTCAGGGATGGACAGCAGAGAAGAGGGCGTGGGGAGATGTCGGACAGTGTAACTTATGACAAAACTATAATAATTTATGAACTATGAAGGGCTCATGAGGGAGGCGGGAGGGGGGAGGGAGAGGGGAAATGAGCAACTGATATTGAGGGCTAAAGTAGAAGGCAAATGTTTTGAGAATGATGAGGGCAACAAATGTACATATGTGCTTGGCACAATGGATGGATGGATGGATGGATTGTGATGAGAATTGTACGAGCCCCCAATAAAATAAATTTTAAAAAAAGAAAGAAAGAGGCAAGCCCAACACCAGCCCAAGGCTGGTTCCCATAAGGTGGACGTCCAACCCACTCCCTCCCTCCATACTTTTTTACTAGTTCTGACATCACCCTCCCTGCCCCTCCCACAACGCTCTCTGCTTCTCTGCTGGGTTCCACACTTTGCTGCGAAGGTCACACAGGTCTCGCAGACCCTACTCCTAATTATGGGGTTTACAAGGGAAATAACGGGTTACAATTCAGGTTCCAAAAGGACTCGGGACACAGTTCTTCAATTAGGAAAGCTTCTACTCAGTCAGTCATACCCCCAGGCAGGTCTCTCTCTGGTCCCCAGCCCTTAGGCTCTCAGTCTGGCCTTTGCCCAGCTCAGACAAGGGTGTCTAAGCCCTTTCATTCCACTGATAAATGCCCAGTGTCACACCACTCTACCAAGAAGCCACCTGTCCAAAGGCACTCGCCTCTTCTGCTCTGTGGGGCAGCATGCCCACTCGAGCCAGGAGGCACACCGGTTTTTCTCAACAACCCCCTGGTCCAACCGCTCCCATTACTGTGCTGTTGAGTTCTGCCACACTTTGCACCACTGATTGCTGCTCACCCCATTGCACCCCCTGTGACCTTGGAAACCGAATTTCTCAGTCTAGCAAGGAAAAATAATTGTGTGGTCTAGGCAAGCGTAAACCTTGAGTTCTAATTTGGAATAGGAATACCAGGATAAATGAATAAATATTCTGCTTGAAAGCATGTGAATAGATAGAATTTCTGTCTAGATCTCATCACTGAAAAGGCTTGGAAACAAGGGCTAGTCAGCAGAAATGGGTATTCTACAGAACCTACACTGTAGCCCTCCCATACCATTTCCCCTGCTGAGGCTGAATTTGTTCAAACAAACCCCTAGTGACGTTTGGTCTCTTAGTTTGGAGGGTTAAGATCATGGGCTCGTGGGGGTTAATTGGCCCGATAGTGTTTTCAGTGCTCTGGGCCCTCTGCAAAGTGGTGTGCAGTGTCTGGAGTCTGACAGGCTTGTAAGAGAATTATCTGAGATGCAGCGCTTGATCCGTTGGCCCATAATGTCGCCGAAAAGAATGCCAGGGATAGAAGGAAATGGAATGTGTGGCTAGCTCGGGAGCCATAAGCAAATGGCTCCCTTTACTCCAGAACTGGATGGTGCCTGACTATCACGACTGAACATTTTGCTCCAAGAATCTTGACCAAAAGGGTAGGGAAGAGGAGAATGTGGAACAGAATTTCAAATCCTCAGGAATTCTAGGCTTTCTGGAGCCACCGAGGCCCAATGAAGGCCTGACTTCTTGCCCTGAGACCACCTTTAAGCCTTCAACCAAAGGTTGCCCTGAAGCTTTCTTGCAACCAAATGCTAGGTTAGCTTACTTCGTAGCAAGTGTTGGCTTCCTGGATTGTGTTCTTTTCAAGAACTGGCCGTACGAATCATGGTGGCACTGCCAAGTTGCAGAGTCAAGAATTTTGGGGGCAGTGAGCTGATGGTAATGGGGGGGAGTGCAATTTGACCAAGAAGGGGAAGACATCGCGCAAGTTGAAGAACGTGGACCGGAATCCATGGTACTGGACTGTACACAGAGACATTGTTGAACTAATGCATGTTCTGCTGGGTTGTGTTTTCAACAACTATGGAAATACTGTTTCCCACCAAAATAAAAGACAACGGGGCCTCTTGGAGAGACGGCAGACTCCAGCCATTGGACAAGAAATGTACGAGATGAGCCTGAAGTCTTACACAGTGCCAGATGCCAAGGGAACTCCCCAAGACAATAGGGCTTTATCCAAAAGACTCAGGAGCTATGTTGAAGAGGTGCACGCTGGACACTGGGTCTTCGATAAGAATAGCAATTGCAACAAAGCTCAGTGCTTAAGAGATATCCTATCTAGAACAAGCCCTTGGGTGGTGCAAACGACTGATGTGCTCCGCACGGCTAACTGAAAGACTGGAGGTTTGAGTCCCCCGGAAGCATCTCAGAAGAAAGAGCTGTCCGTCTACTTCTGACAGATTAGCCGTGGGGGACTCTGTGGGACACAGTCCCACTTGGACACCCCTGGAGTCCGGCAGCATCAACCCAACAACAACCGGTGGGTGGCGGGGGTTAATACTCAGGAAATCATATTTAGGGAAAACTACCGAGCCACAGAGGTTGATAGGAAAACTCATCTATTATCTTAAAAATCAGTAAGCATCGATCCTCCGTGTTCTCTCTCAAGGACCTGTAGGTCACCAGGTAGCATATGAGGGAAGCCCCTCTTTTCTAAGCAGTCCGCCTCGTACGCAAATGCCCTTCCCCCCCAGCTGCCCTCTCAGTGCCTTCAGACTTTAGTTCCATGCCCTCTTCTCTGAACATTGCTTTCAAAGTCGCAAACCTGCCCGCATTGCCGCTTCCTGTGCCTTCCCTGCCACTTCTGCTCACTGCCTTCCTCGGTGGAAGGTAAGCACGGAGAAGAAAGGGATCGTGTCTGTCTGTCTGTCTGTTTTCTTCACTGCTCCATCTGCAGCATGTATCACAGTACCTGGCAGGTGGGATCGACTCAGCAGTAGGTTCTAGACGAAGGAACTATTGAAACCAGGATGTACCGACTCTCCCTGAAATCTAGCTGCCGGCCTGGGAAGGACACCAGAAACCCAACCTAGCCGCTTGCCCTCATATTGAGAGAAGCGGGGTGTAAGGAGACACGCGGCAAGTCTGTGCTTCTCCCCAGAGCAGAATGAATTTGTCTCTTGAAAACACAAAAGATGAGTGCAATGAACTCCTGAAAGCAGGGCCAGCCCGACGCCCTGCCCAGTCCTCAGCTGGGCAGGGTGGAAGCTCCCGGGAAAGTCCAGAGGCGCCACAGAAAGCAAAGGCGCTGGCTCTGCTGCCCACCACAGCTTCATCTTGTTCCATGCAGACCCCTCGACTTGATAGAGAACTTCAAGCGGAGACTCACGCAGGCAAGGAGCTTGCTGCAGCGAGGTGGCGTCACTGTGCTAGTACATCGTGGGGCTGGTTCTAGCCTGGGATTGGGGGGATGCTGTCCTATTCCCCCCTGAATACTTTTTCCCAGTGTCCCCTGCCTGTCCATCTTTTCAGGGCAGAGTTCCCTGCCCAGGATGCGCTCTTCTACCCCCACCCCCGAAGAGGGTTAGGTTACCTGGAACAGCCTGGGACAGGAGTAGCAGGACGGCCAAGGTCAGCCAGACAAGCTTCATGGCTTGAGGTCGCCCGAGGAGAGCGTCCGGTGGAGTGTGCAGAGGAGACGAGAAGGCAAGTCAACGGGCAATAGCTCAGGACTCCCTGTCTCCCTCTAATCAGCGAGGACACGTGTCACTCGCACATGCCCTCAGCACCCGTAGGTACAGCCCCCACTCTCCCCAACCCCCAGCCTCGGCGCATCCTGTCTTCTCGCACCCTCCTCAGTTGCATCCTGACATGCCCCCAGCTGACACTGTGTCGCTGAATATGCCCAGCTGTCACGCCTCCCTTCAGCCTCGCAGGGCCCAGCAAGGAGAAATCCGGCACGCACGTGGCAGGGGGGCTTTGTGACGTTGCCATGTGCTGCGGGAGCCCCTGTCCATTCAGTCTCCCTGTCCAAGAGCCAAACTGCCCCTTACGGTTTCCGAGGCTGAAGTCTCACCAGGTCTTTCCCCCACAGCCCCTGGCTGGCTCAAACTACCAACCTTTCCGTTAGCAGCCAAGGACCAGACAAATAAGATCCTTGGTTTGGGGGGGTAAGTAGATTTTTTTTTTTGCCACTTCAATATGTTTTCCATGTACAATTCGGTGACATGAATTCCATCCACCATGCAGCGAGACCACTTCCATTGTCTATTTCCAGATCTTTCTAACACCCTTGACAGAAGCTGGGAGACTCCCTTCGTGGTTGCTCTGTGCATAGGCAGAGCGCAGACGTCGGTTTGGGTTACTGTGCCCCCAAAAGACGTTTATCAAGGGGTCACCAGGGTGGGAAGGGGGAGAGGGAAAAGAGAGGAGCAGATACCAAGGGCTCCAACAGAAAGCCAATGTTTAGACCACGATGGTGAGGACAGATGCACAGAGATGCTCGATGCAATCGATGTACAGCGTGTTATAAGAGACATAAGCGCTCCCGATAAAATGATTTAAGGGAAAAGAAGAGAAGCACCTACTGCCTTTGAGTCAATTCTGACTCACGGCCACCTGTGGGACAGGGTCCCCGCCCTGTGGGCCTCATAGACTGCAACTCTTCATGAGGAGCCCTCGTGGCATCGTGGTTAGGAGTTGAGCTGCTAACCACAAGGTCAGCAGTTCAAAACCAACAGCTCCTCCATGGGAGAAAGAGGAGGCTTTGTATGCCTGGGAAGAGACAGTCTTAGAGCCCCCTGCCTAGAGGGCATGATACATTTGTTTAATTTGGTTTAACTCTTTACGGGAGTGGGAAGCCTCATCTTTCTCCTCTGGTTATGACAGAGGTTCAATATTCTCCGGGGACCCTTGAGTGAACCTCATCCTACCAGGATGTTTCTAGAACAGAGTCCCAGGGTGAGGGAACCAAGACGATGCCTTGTGTTCCCTTGGCTGCAGGTGGTTTAGAGCCGGATGGGAGGACTCTTCAGCCAGTCACAGTGTTTGGACTTTGGCTTTTACATAAATAGATTCCTTCGGCTTTGCCAACGTTCTGGCTGCTGACCTCGGTGGTGGAGGGGAGGCGCGGCCGCTCAGGGCCGTGTGACTCCATGCTGCGAGCTTGGGCGGGTGGGGCTGCACCCGTGGGAGCTGAGGGCACGTGGATGGTGTGTGCTCTGGCCGTTCAGAGGGAGCAGGAGCCAGAGACGCCAGAACTCTCTACCTTCACTTGAACATCACGTTGGACCTGCAGCTTCACCCGGGTCACCTCCAGCCATGAGGCTCCTCCTGCTGACACTTACTGTGCTGCTGTTCCTGTCCCAGCTCACGCCAGGTAACCTGGGCGTCCGCCCAGGAGAACCAGGGGGAGGCCGGGGGTGGCCTGACAGGGGAATCCCAAGGGTGGAGCTCGGGCTGGCAACAGGAGGCCGCTGTTGAGAAGCACCCGCGGAAGCTGCCTTTGCCAACAGCATGTGCCTCTCGACGCCATCCAGCCATCAATCTGCTGGGCTCCAGGGAGCATGCTGAAGTGGTCTAGTGGATGAGGAAGAGTGGAAGCCCAGGGGTGGGGGCAGGGGAATCAAAGCGGGAAGGGGAGGGGAGCCATCGTGGCCCTTTTGCAGAAGAGTCCCCAGAATTGTCTAGACTTTGCAGCTGCCGTAACCAGAAAGGAAAAACTCCTATTGACTGCTCCTGGCTCTGTGTCAGACTCTGTGCTGGGGCCACAGAGATAAATGGCATGGCCCTGGGAAACTCGGTGGGGGGGTGGGGGGACAGAGCTGCCTGAGCCATCATGGAGGGAAGCCAGGGGTCTGGGGTGCACCCAGGAGAGACCAACCCAGCCTGAGTGCCAGAGAATCCTCCCAGAGTGGCCTCTGAGTCTGAGAAGCAAGTGGCACTGAGCACTGAGGGGAAGAGCTGGGGTAGCAAGGGGGCCCCAGGTCGAGCCCCCTGAAGCAAAGGCCCCCAGGAGGGAAGGCACACAGCCTCTCAGAACAGGGCAAACGTGGAGGCGTGGCTCAGGAGAGCCGACTGGCACAGCTTTCTCCCGGGTCTCGAGGGAGGGGCCTTGTGTGTGTGTGTGTGTGTGTGTGTGTGTGTGTGTGTGTGTGTGTGTGATAAAGGTCCCTGCTGCTGGATCAGCAGCTAACACAAAGGTTGGTGGTTTGAACCTACCCAGCAGCTCCTCTGCAGAAAGGCCTGGCAATCTGTTTCCATCAATGGTCCAGCCAAGAAAACCCCCGGGGGCAGTTCCACTCTCCGTCACACTTGGGCTGGCCCACCATGACTTGGGCTCAACGGGATAGCAAGCAGGTCCTGTGTTAGGGCTTGGGGGAGTCAATGCACACACAGGTGACCAAACGTTCACATTTCAACCACCTCCGCATGTTCAGTAACATTCGTTAAGCTCCTCGTGTTGTTTAGCCAACCCCTTTTACCATCCCCAAATGTTCTATCACCCTGAACAGAAGCTCGGTGTCCCCCAAACACCGTGTCTTCCCGCTATATCCCTCCTCTCCTCTCAGTCACGGCCATCGAGTTGCTGCCGACTGCGTTTCCAAGACTGGAATTCTTCAGGGGAGTAGAAAGCCCCTTCTCGCTTCCTTGGAGAGGCTGGTGGTTTTGAACTAATGGCCTTCAGGATTGCAGGTCAACTCGTACCCAGAAGGCCACCAGGGATCCCTCCACGGAACCGCTAATAAATGTCCGTCTCCCACCCTACGTCTTCCTAGGGTAGAGATTTCATGGAAGTGGTCCCACACAGTGGTTGGCCTTGGGGGACGGACTCACTTTGTGCAGCATCATGTTTATGCTTTGCCCGTGTGGTGGCTACACCAGGACTTCGTTTCTCTCTGGGGCTGAGTAATAGCCCATTGAGTGTCGTGGCACATTTTGTTCATCTGTTCACATGTTGGTGAGCATTTAGGCTATTTGCACCTTCAGTCTATTGGGACTGTTGCAAGGCACATTGGTGTACACGTCTCTACCTGTGCCCCCGCTTTTCGTTCTTCTGTGCAGGTGCCTAGGAGTTTAACTGCCTTCCCAGCAGATCAGGATGCGAGTGAATTCCTTCAAACAAGTGAATTCTTTGGGGGTTGCAACATGGTAGCAAAATCTGCTGTGTTTCATTTCTTTGCTTCAGTCGTTAGCTAAAACATTAAGACACAAATAAAGCACTCCTTGCCATTTACAAGTTGACTTTTCAGCAGTTGGGTTCACACAGGGAAGACAGACTCAATGCTAAGTTTTTCTATATTTACAAATAGGTAAGATAATTATTTTCATAGCACCTTCCAATGGTGATAGATTCATTGTTGATGTCCTTAATGAAAACCCATTTAAATGTATTTGACGAGTCTTCGTTGTTTACAAGTCTTTACCCTTACTGAAGCTCCCATTGCCCCATTGTTCAGCAAGGAGAGCCTTTTGGGTCACTGTTTATAATCCCATGGTCTTGCGGTGAAGATCAAGGACTGCAGCCGTCAGCATGGATAAGAACTGAACGTAAAGAAGCCCCAAATGCTCACAACTGCACCAATAGGGAACATCATGATAAATGGAGAAAAGATTAAAGTTGTCAATAATGTTTGTCTTGCTGTGGATCTACAATCAGTGCTCATAGAAGCAGCAGTCAAGAGCTCAAAAAGCATAATTGCTACACAAGACCAAATCTGCTGCACAAGACCTCTTTGGAGGATGGAAAAGCAAGGGTGTTACTTTGAGGACTAAGGTGCACCTGACCCAAACGATGGTATTTCCCATCGCCTCATCTGCATGTGAAAACTGGACGTCAGGGAGACTAGAGCAGCGGTTCTCAACCTTCCTCATGCCGCAACCCTTTCATACAGGTCCTCATGCGGTGGTGACCCCCAACCATAACATTATTTTTGTTGCTACTTCATCACTGTCATTTTGCTACTGTGATGAATCGTCATGTAAATCGTAATGTGTTTTCCAATGGTCTTAGGCGACCCCCGTGAAAAGAGTCATTGGACACCCAAAGGGGTCGCAACCCACAGGTTGAGAACCACTGCTGTCGAAGAACGGATGCATTTGAATTATGGGGCTGGTGAAGAATTCTGAAAGTACCATGGACTGATAAAAGTGAATTAGATCTGTCTTGGAAGAAGTGCAGTCAGAAAGCTCCTTAGAAGCAAAGATGGCAAGACTTCGTCTTACACACTTAGGACAGATTGCCAGGAGAGACGAGTCACGGGAGCAGGATATCCTGCTGGGTAAAGTAAGGGGGGGGGGTGTGAAGAAAGAGGAAGACCCTCGGTGAGACGGAGTGACGCAGTGGCTGCATCAGTGGGCCCAGGCGCGGGAACCATTGTAAGATGGAGCAGACCTGTGCCGTGTTTCACTCTGTTGTGCAACCTTCCTATGGATCGGAGCCAACTTGATGGCTCTTAACAAAAACAACCACAGGCCTAGGCTGAGAAGCTGTCTTAGGGTCCCCTTTCCTTGGAAAAGAGCCCTGGTAGTATAGTAGTTACTAGTTGGCCCACTAACCACAAGTTCAGCAGTTCGATACTCGCAGCTGTTCCTTGAGAGAAAGATGAGTCTTTCTACACCGGTAAAGCGTTGCCATCTCAGACACCCACAGGGGTAGGTCTTCTCTTTCCTATAGAGTTGCTTTTGGCTTCCTTGCAAACTGCAAAATTAAGACGGATGTGGGAATTTGAATCCCAAAACCCCTTATCTGAAGGCCTGAGCTGGCTCGGGAGTCAAGACTGCTTTTCTGTGCTGAAAGGCTCAATTGTTCCGGGAAAGAATCAGCAAGATATGACTTCAAATACAAAGTTTCAAACAGTGGGGATTGCTCAGCACTTTGTCCTTGTGTTGAATAACAAAGCCATCGCTCTGTTCACACTTGCTATCTGGTATAACAAGATAATTTCTTCTCCATCCTGTACCTCTTGTCCTAGACCTTGAATTAGCCATTTCTTCACAAGCCCTGATTTCTTCTGGTGGAAACGTGGTCTTTCAAAAGTATAATTGCAATGCCAGCGATATTCAGGGTTACTAATTTACTTAGGGTTTGTAGGACATATGAGAGGAAAGGGGGCAAAGAAGTCATGAGACAAGCAAACAGGGAGGTTTATGCATGTCTACACAGAGCCCTTCATGCCTACACAGAGCCCTTTGACAGCAAGGTCAGGGATCTCTGGGTCAGAAAGCTCCAAAGGACAGCAGCACCGTAAAAAGAAACCCCACCACCATTGTGTCAATTCCAACTCATAGTGAGTCTCTAAGACAGCACAGCCACTCCCTCTGGTTTCCAAAGCTGAACTTCTTCTCAGGAGCAAGAAGTGTCATCTCTCTCCCGCAGACCAGCAGGTGGGTTCGAACTACCAACCTTATGGTCAGCAACCCAGCACCGAACCCACTAGACCACCAGCACTTCCAGCCGTATATCATAGGGTTCTTATCATGACAGGACTTCGTCTTGTCTAGAGCTAGCAGAAGGATCCCTGAGGACTTGGTAGCTGCAAACCTGTCACTCGAACCCACCAGCCAGTCTTTGGGAGAAAGATGAGGTTTTCTGGTCCCATAAAAATGTAGTCTGGGAAATCCAAAAGGGGGCAGTTTTACCGTATCCCATAAGGCTGTTATGAGTCGGGCTAGCAGAGATGGGATACTGTCTTGTGGGGTGCGAACAGCAGGAGGCTCCAGGTAGATAAAAGTCCGTTTAGTAGGCCTATTTCAGAACAATGGGGTGTGAAACAATTTGAGTATGGCACCTGCAGCCCTTGGGGGCTAATGGACCTGAAGAAGCTCTAAGAAGCAAGCAGCTGAGGCCAGTACAGGAGAGGCCACCTTGTGCTTCGTGATGAGTGATGCGGAGGGAGAGAGATGGCACTCTACTCCCGGAAAGAGTTACAGTCTTGGAAACCCACAGGGCCAGTTCTACCCTGCCCTAGAAGGTCAGTGTCAATGGCGATGGGTTCGGCTTTCTGTTCTTCTGTTTTTGAGTGATGTGGAGAATCTTTTCACACACTTATTTTCCACATGCGAGGGGGCACCCCAAAGTAACCAGAATAGCCCCCCTCTTTATTTTTCCTTTTTTTTCGCCAAAGCTATGTATTTATTTTATTTTATTTTTTACTAAACAACCTTATCATCTTCAAAGTACTCTCCATTACACTTAATGCATTTGTCCAATCTGTGAATCCATTCTTGGAAACATGTTTCAAACTCATCTGTCTGGATGGCTGACAGGGACCTCTCTCGTTTTTTTTTTCTTTGCCTCTTCTATGTCCACAAGCAGCGGTCCTTCATGTCCCTCTTCCATTTCGGAAACAAAAAGAAACTGCACAGAGCGAAGTCAAA